CCTAAAGGAGCTCTGGCAGCATAGTGCCTAAGGGATTTGACTGCTAACCAGAAGGCTGGTGGTTCAAACCTACCAGCCTCTCCTCGGAAGGAAAGTTGGGCAATCTACTTGTCTAGTGATACTGACTTGGAAACCCAGGGAGGGGTCACTATGAGTTGGATGCAATTTGATGGGAGTGAGTTTGGTTTTTTGGTTTACTACTACCTAAGGCATTTGACTGCTAACCAGAAGGCTGGAGGTTCAAACCCACCAGCCACTCCTCGGAAGGAAGATTGGGCAATCTACTTCCATAGAGATACACACACACATACATATATTTCAGCCTATCTAGGAATTTAGCCTCCTGTCCCCTCCCATCCCTGGTAACCAACAAAGAAACTTTCGAGAAAGGTCTTTGCCAGTTGTCCAAGCTGGTAAAGTCCTGGAGGGGGTGCAGGAGGGGGACTGGCCAGCATGATCTCCTCCGCTGGCATCTGGCCCACATGGAGTGGTGGTGGAATTGGAAACAAAGGAGACACAAATAGCCTAATTCCATGGCTAGGACCCTTCCCAATTTCCCTTTTTAAGAACTGCCCAAACAAAAGCCAAGTTGGTTTAGCAATCAATGGGGTACAGAAGAAGCACCTGGGGGTGTCCTGGGGCTAGGGCTGGGCTGGAGCTGCCCTGGCTCCAGGTGTGGCCGTCACCTCAACACTCACGCCAACACTGTGGTCCCCACAGGCAGACAGGCATGGGCATGGGAAGCACCATGGCCCGCGTGGGCAGCATCGTGAGCCCCCTGGTGAGCATGACCAGCGAACTCTATCCTTCCATGCCTCTCTTTATTTATGGCGTTGTCCCCGTGGTGGCCAGCGCTGTCACTGCCCTCCTGCCAGAGACCCTGGGCCAGCCACTGCCGGACACCGTGCTGGACCTAGAGAACAGGTGAGCTGTACCGTCCCCTCCTGAGCTCGGCCTCAGATAAGAATGCTGAAGCCCAGAGAGGAGCAGGAACTTACCCAGGCCACCCACCCAGCCGGGGTGGTATCAAGACTCAAACCCAGGCTCGTCTTCCAAGCCAGGGCTCTTGTCTCTCTGCTTCCCAAACTGGCTGTGTCTCCAACAAGCCTTCCTGGGAGACTCCTAGCTCCAGGGAACGGTAGATGTTTGGGGCAGAGAGTGGGTGGCTGGTCACGCTGAACAGAGAGCCTCTGGGAGCCCTTACTCCCGGCCGACACACCACGTACAACCAGGACACCACTCTTCTGCCCCCAGGAGGAGAGGGAAACCAAGACGACAGCAGCTCGAGCAGCAGAAGCAGATGGTCCCCCTGCAGGCCTCTGCACCAGAGAAGAGCGAGCTCTGAAGACGGAGAAGGACCTTACAGGGCCCTGAGAGGACTAAGGGTCCTGCAGGCCCTGGGTATCCATACAAGGAGGGGGTAGGGAGGGTGGCAGCCCAAGCCTGGGGGCTGTGGTTCAGGGAAATACCTCCCCAAGGGTCCCCCTTTCCAAATAGGCCCCACCAAGACCACATCATTAAAAAGATCTGACTACGTGCAGCATCTCCTGTGTCTCC